ACCGATGTACTATTAGGATTTGATATTTATTTGCTTAATTTCGCACAATTCAGTAGGCCTTTTATCCAAATCCGACCGTCCTATTCGAGTCAAAATACTTCTTCAATTAGCACAGCTACGCAAACCATCGGAGGGAATTCCTCTGCGCGTGATGTTTGCCGAGCAATCAGTGTTCTGGGGGTAAGGTCAGTAAAACTAATTTCCATTTCACCTATTCAACGAGGTTGGCAATTTGTTTGCAAACGTTTCATCACCAGTCAAAGTAACATCTTCAGTGCTTATGATGTGGTAGGGTTCTGCTTGTACGCGTTTGCTCATATATGTGTTCTTCATCAGTGACTAGTTTTTGTCCCTACTGTGTTCGTCCTGTTTTGCTGTTGAACTGGTGAGAGGGGTTGAGGATAGGGGTAGGGGTTGCGCATCTGTCTTGATTCCCGGTTTGATCCGTTCTCAGATCACTGTGAGACCTTGTGTTGCTTGATGCGATCCTTGAGTTGTATTGGTGTGTACACATGATCCAGTTCGATGTATCGGTTTACTGAATTGATTGCAAAGGCCGAGATTCGAGACATTCTCTGGCGTGATTTTCACCGATTCAAAGTCGCATTGATGTCTCTCTTGATCTTTGTGATGAAAAATCGGTGATAGTGGGTTATGCCTCCCAACTGCCAATTGGTGTTCACGGAGGATCCTTGTTGAAAGTCTTCTTCCACTTTGTTGGATATTGTCCTTTGGACAGTTCTTATAGTTTATTCTGCAAAGAACGTTGCTCTTGTACTTCTCCACCCTTCTCTCGTTTGGCTTTGAAAGAAGTCTCTTCAGACAGGCGACCGGTTTGTGAGAAAGTTGGATTCCCTATGATCTGAGCAATCTTGATGGTAATTCGAACACGTCCGTGATGTAGGGCAGCGTTTTTCTGTGTTTCTGATCCCGTCTTTTGTTTGTTTCCTTCTTTTATTCAGAGTTCTATTGATGACGTTACGGGTGTAGTCATTGCGAGCAAATATTCTGAAGATACGTCTTTCTTCGTGAGAATGTCGGTGCGGTAACGCGCTTGGATTCATCCGAATAGGGCTGCGACTGTGTAGTTGGTAACTTTTGAATTATATGATTTGATCCATATGCGTTGATGTGCTGGTAGACCGTTGTTTTTCGGTTTTCTAATGACTTTCTGATGATCAAGATATTCAAAAATGCCCCCATTGTGAATTTGATACCATTGAAAGTATTATTGAAGACAATGTGTGTTCTCTCTAATTCCGTCTTCTTCAAGATGACGACTGAGTCATCAACGTACCGAAGTCAAACTTTTAGCATGATTCTCGGGAGTACCTCCTTCTCCAGCTTCTGCATTACGGCTTCGGCTATGAATCCGGAAATTGGAGATCACATTGGTATTCGTTTCACCTGTTCGTAGTGTTATAATTCCAAAAGGCGGAGCTCGGTCGAGGACAGTTGTTTATTGAGGATCACAGATGGGACATCAGTAATTTGGTACACATAACACTGAAAATCTCATCAGAAACATACAATCGCAGTTCCTAGCCGCACGACGGTTAATGAACGTAGTAATTGATAGTTATTCTCTCAGATAGAGCAATTTGCCCTCCGTGGTCTTCTTAATTTTTGATCATCTAAAGTAATCACCAACTATGTAACCTACTAATCCCGAGTGAGTATTGCATAACTTTTGCAAGATGATATATGCTTACATTTCAGTTAGAAATTGTACACTGGTC